GAAGATCACAGAACCGGCGATGCATCGTTCCAAGGTGAAGAGTCTGCAGCCCTTTTCGCACAGATCTTCGAAGGGTATGGCGAGGCCGGGTGATCCGATACCCGAGCTTCAAGCACGCTTGGTGCTTTCTCTGGGGAAGGCTGTTCGAACGGACGTGGCCTCGGCTTTGCGGCGCCTGGGCGCCGCTGCGGCGCTGTGGCGGCGCTGGCGTGGCCACGCCGAGGCCACGGAACGCGCCCGGGGCCCCAGCAGCGCCGATCCGCCCCCGCAGGGCCCGGCAGGGCGCCGTGGCGCCGCCTCCATCCCCTTTTCGGGCACTGGGTTTCGTAACCAGCATTTTCTGCTGAGGCTTTGTGGTTCTCAACCAACACATCTCCTTTTGGGGTTCTGGGTTTGGCAACGAACATATTTTTTCAGGGTCGTGGGTTTGGCCGGTTTGGCAACCAGCAGCTCCATCTGGGGTCTAGGGCCTAGACATATCTCATCGTATCTCCTTTTAGGGTTCTGGGTTTCGCAACCTACATCTCCTTTTTTGGGCACAGTGCTGAACCAACATCCCCTGTGACGGCTTTAATGTTGAGCTTGGCAACCAGCATCTCGTTCTAGGGGTTTGGTTTTCCGGTTTCCATTTCCTTTAGGGTTTTGTGTCTTTCCCAACGTCTCTTTTGAGGCTTTCTGCTTTGGCAACCAACATCTGCTTGTGCAGTGTTTGGTTCGGCAGCCACCGTCTCCTCTGCTGCGACATCCTTCTCTCCTCCTCCTCCTCCTCCTCTTCCTCTTCCTCTGCCTTCTCCTGTTCCTGATCCTGCTCCTGCTCCTGCTGCTGCTGCTGCTGCGCCACGACTACAGCTCCTGCTCCCACTCCTGCTGCTGTTCTTGCTGCTCGTGCTGCTGCTGGTGCTGCTGCTCCCACCTATACCCGATTAGGCATGAAGCAGACAGAGTATTTTCAGCCCAACATCAACCTGCGCCGTCCCTTGCCAGGCTGCCTCCGTGCTGGTCGCTAGCCTCAATGCAGCACTCCGTTCGCAACGGGCCGCTGCTCAGCCGCTACGACAGGATGGGGATGGGCTGCTGCAGCACATGGCATTGCTGGTGGTCGTTTTGGAAGTGTAAAGGCAACATGCTGCCTCGTCAGGAGGTGCAGATCTTCATCCGCACTCGGAAAAGGCGTCGCTCGTTCCGGCGCACTTTGCAAGACTTCCAGATTCCTGGCAACGAGAGACGAACACTCTCCTCCGAAACTGCCTGCACGACGGAGTTCTTCACACCGAGAAACCAAAAGAGCAGTGACAGGCTTACTGCATTGCGTCAGAATGGTGGCGTCTGCAACCACAGTGTGCTTTAGTTGTCCTGAAGTTGTTCGGGTGATCCTGCAGCGGTGTACGCAAGAAGTTGGATGACACGGTTGTGTGGTCAATACGTAAGGAGCAAAGGGATTAGGTGACTGAAGCCCAACACTGCACGTCCAGCATGTTGGTGCAGTCATTGCCTTGAAGAATGCCCGACATGACAGGGCCACACGATTCGTTCGGGCTCTGCTTTGTGGACTCGAAGTCCATACCCTTACGTAAGGGCTTTCGATCTTGAATCGCTCAAAGTCTTGGCCGTCCGAGAAGGGCTACACGGCCACACTATTCGGCCAGTGAATCTTCGCAGTGGGGTTGTCCAGCCGGCAACACTCAAGCCTCGCAAGGAAAATGGGAGCATGCGGTGAGAAGTCTTACGGCTGCTCGGAGGAAGTGCTCCACCAAGCGCTGCAGGACTGCCACAGATGGCCAGCAATGGCACAAGTTTGGTTGCACGTCTCGGTGCTATGTGCGATTTCAGTGGCACTGCAGGTCACGGTTCCATTAGCAAGGAAACGTGCGCTTGTTGCATCCCCAAACACTCACTGCAGGGTAATCCAGAGAGCCTTGAGGACGCTGTGCAGCTCGGCAGCTTCTGCCGCAGCGCAGCTGCGGAGCCTGGATTCTGGGCCTCCGAGACGACCACAGCAATGTGCGTTGAGGCCCGAGTCTCAAGCCATTGAAGCTCGAGCTGACTGCAAGCCTCAGAAGCCTAAAGATGCGGAGGTACTCTCGTCTTTTGCCAAGGCGTTCGAGTCGGAGGCATGCAGCTTTCTGCTTTCCGAGCCAATGAAGTCAACTTCTCTGGTCCTGGCAGGTTTCTTCGTTGGCTGAGGCTTTGGTGTCCGTACATGCGACGAATCATGGCGACGACGTCAGGATCCAGAGGTTTAGCACTGGTGAGGATGCAGGCGTCCTGACGCATGCCGCGCGTGGCTGGGCTCGATTCCTGGAAACCTTGCCTGGAAATATCACCGTACAGCCGTGTCGGCGGGCAGCAGTGGCGCTGATGGCCAACACCTGGACCCAGCACTTGATTCGATTTCCCCCGCGAGGATGGTCTGCTTCGAGAATGCTGTCGGTCTTGCAGGCAGATCAAGCTGCGGCGATGCAAGTGGAGCGAGGCGAGCGAGGCGAGCCAGGTGCTCCGGAACTCGAAAGCTTTGTGGCAGTGCTAGGTGCACTGCGGCGGATTCTGAGAAACGGCAAGCCAGAGTGGGAGGACTTAGCAAGCGCAGAGGCAGAGCTTCAAAGATTACTCGATGAGGATACTGGAAGGGCTTTGGCCCAAGCGTTTTGGCAGGCAGTGAGCCAGTAGTTCCGCAGTTATTTGTTTTGGCTGGCAAGTCAGATCCACGGAGGCTGTGATGCTCGGCCGGAAGGTTGCCAGGTAGGCTTGTACAGAAATGCCACTTTAGCTCACGCCCCTCCTTTTGAAAGGCTTGGGTTGTGAAACTCCTGGATCTGGGCTGAGAGCGCCGAGAGCTTTGCAACGGGAGGTTCTAGATCAAGCAAGACTCCTCGACGCTCTTGGCCCCTGTAAAGTCATGCTGGCGAGCCAGTCTGCCAGGGGGGGTGCAATCGGGGACGTGCGGGTTGTTGCTCCATGACAATTGGTTCACTGCACGTGAAGCACATGAAGTTATAGGGCCAGCAGAATGCTTGGCTCACACAGATACTGCACGATCACTTCTCACGGCGTGTTGCTGCCATGATGTTTCGTCTAAAAGTCCACGGCACGAGGCAGGTTTAAACAGGCTTAGTAACGGACTTGGCATGGAGGCTTCGGAAGTTCAAGGCCTGGGAGCTTGGTCCAGCTGGGGTTTGGTTCTGAAAGCGACTCCAGACGGGAGCGGAGTGCCTAGTCTGGGTGCCCGGGCTACTTGAGATTCCTGCAGCAGTTTTAGCCGATTGTTGGATCTGCCCCACCATAGCAGATAGGGAAGAGTTAGGGTCCGAAGCCCCTGCGGAAATCATGTGGCCAGTTTTCCACGTTCACACGTTGCCATCATGCTAGTGACTGCCAGTGGTAGACACGCCGTGTGGAGATGCCGCGAAGCCAAAGGCTTTCGCTTATCAGTTTTGGCTCTGAGCAGAAGGCTGCAGAGCAATTCGCGATGAGGCACCTCAGAGGGCGGTCCACGAAGAAAGTGCACAAGCTCAGATCAAAAGCAGCTATGGATCCATGCATCTCTTTCGATCGATGAGGGGCAAGCTTTAGTTGTTCTAGATTTTCGATGTTTAAGTCTCCGGTCTACTATTGGGACTTGTCTGATTCGGACCATGCCATGCCATACGATCCTTTATCATGCCATACCATGCCACATATTTCTATCAATGTGCATGCAAACAGATGCAAGCACATCCAAGTCAACGTACCGAACCGACATCCGGGTTTGGGGCTGTAGGTTCAGGCTTTCAGGGTTCGGGCAGAGGGTGTTCCGGTTGGGCTGACTAGTGGGGTTCCGGCTTTGTCCAGGTGTTAGGATTTAGTGGGTGTTGCTTAGGGCGGGTCTTTAGGGTTAGGGCTTGCAGGGTTTGTGTTGTAGGGCTCGAGGCTTGGAGCAGTCCAGGGATGTAGGAGTGCAGGGTTCCTTCCGGAGATCCGTCTGTCCTGGGCTTCGGGGCAAATGGCTTCAGGTCTATTCGCTGGGTTTCAGGCATGCCACTCCGTTTCACTCCAATCCGTCTTGGTTTGAGTTAATAAGTCTACGTGTAGAGACGTTATATTCGCCCCGTTCTCTCCGGAGAGTGAATCACGGGTTGGGTGGCTTTGCGGGGTTCTTGCACTTGCACAAACATCCTGGCCTGTGAACCCTACTGTTGAGCGCAATCGTTCTTGTCACTCCGTTTTCTTGCATTGCGGAACATGTGTGACTTGTAGCCTCCGGTATGGGGGCCGGAGCGGGTGGTGGGGGGAAACGGAGAGGCGGGGGGAGCTTTACACAAAGGTTTGGCTGCGCTGAGATGAGTCGCTGTGCTAATGGCTAGCAGCCGCAGAATGCGCGCCGAATCGGCGGCACCAGGAAGGGAGGGGGAGGAGTGGGGGAGGGAGACATCGAACTTTCGGGCTGCAGGGAGGAGGATTAGGTGGAGGGTGCAGATTTTAGCCCCGAAGATGTTCCGGGGCCTGTAGCGCGGTGGAGAGAGATTTCACTATGCTGGATTGCATTATTTCATATTCGAGTAGGTTCTCTTCTGTTAAGTTGTGCTATGTCCCAGCATACAGCATGAGGCCACGCCAGGTCACGATGTATCATGTGTCCTTTACATGGTAGCATGGTGCACCAACTCATACAGGCTGCATGGCCCCAACGGTGACATAGGCAAGAAGACTACACATTCAAGCTGTCTGTCAGTTGTTCGCAAACTTTTGCAAGTTTTTCCACCGTCCCAAAAGAACGGTACCAAAAAAGGACAGGCATGCACAGATCAACCCTGCACCTCACCCCCACCATCCCCCGCAGGCGTGTGCTGCTTTCCGGTTCAGGTATTGCTTCGTATGAACCGACCCAACAAACGTCAGGACAGGTTGCAGATGTCTTCAGCATGCAGCGATTGTCCACGGTCCTTGCCAAGCCTGACTTTCTGCAGACCCAACAGGTACTGATTAAAGGAAGCTTCCTTGTCAGCCGGCTTGCGTTCGTGCCGATGTCGTATTTCCCTGTTCTTCCTGGTGCAGTGGATGATGCTGCCACACCAGCGCCAAGTCCGAAGATGCATGGCTTGCATGGGCATGATGCAGGCAGTGCCGTCCTCTCGCAGATTTCCCAGGCTCCGATGGTTTCTGTGGTTTTCGTGGCCCTCTGCAGGTGACATCGAGGCACCCCGTGCTCCGGTTCGAAACGTGGTTTTGACCGTCGAACAGAAGGACCAGCCTACGTTTAAGTCGTGTTGTGCCGCTCCTTCAAGCAGTTTCAACGTACTGTACGTGTATCTTGTGGGTATCTGCCGTTATCTCGTTGTGAAGCCCTTTCAAGATTCGCATGGCTTGGCATCGCGGATATCAGGAGAAGTTGCAGCAATGGCAGCGGATGGCCGAGCATGGCTTCCAGATTCATCGTCGAGCCGAGCGCTATTATGCCACTTGTCTTGCCAGCATTAGTGGACGATTTTGCATGATATTGTGTTCTGCTCTTCCCTTGACAGCCTTAACAGTTTGAGAAGTGGTGCATTCCCTCTTGCATTCCACATTTTCGTCATGCTTGCCAGGCAGTACTTAGCTTGTGCTGCGTGTTGTTCCCACTGTACGGTCTGCCTTTGCTTTTAGTTCCCCGTCGAGTTTGTCCCATGACCTTTGGCCCAATGCTGTCGCGGAGTCCTTAATGAGCAGCTGCTGGTTCGCCGCTGAAATGTCCTCCATGTTCTGTGGAAGGTCTGGTGGTAGGCCAACGACTCTTGAGATGTTCTTTTCCCCGTCTGAAGAGATCACTGATCAATCCATCCATCGGTGCGGTGCTTTTAGTTGGCAGCGTTTCGTTGAGACTTGAGTTTGCGGGCAGCTTGTCACTGGCTAGTATTTTGCGGGTGGCGGCGGGAACTACTGTATCGGATCCTGCAATGCATCAACATGAGCCCTCGCCAAGGAGCATGTGAATTTCTGGACGCTTTCACTGCCATCAGCCCGCATCTCAGCATTGGCCTTTGTGCTCATTGCTGTGCCGGCACAAGACAGTCCGGCAATGTAGATGTAGACTGTTTGGCGAGGTGGTCCTATCTGCCGTGGCGACAGTTTGGACGCTGGCGACGGAGAACAGCCAGTTCGAAAACAGCCGGGTCTATATCGCATCCATCTCAGGCACGGCTCGGCGATGCTCAGTTGGTCAGGTCCTGGCAGTACAAGCGGCTTAACTCATCTCAAGAAATCTGAATTTGCCAGGTCTCGGCACAATTGTCACTTCCATCGGGACATACTGGAGATGGCAAGCACGCATGGAGAAGACACCCGGTGTCGTCCTGCCCGAAAGCATTGTCAGTCGTGTTACCAGATGGAGTGCATGCAATGGTTGCAAGTGGCTCGTCTGACAACAGTCAAGGAATCGGTTTGCCTCCGAGCGATACAACAGCTCCTTGTCAGCAATGTCCGTGTGATGCAAGCATTGCGCTGCCTAGACCACGGACATACCGTAGACAGGTTGAAGGCGACTGTTGCTCACCCAAGCCTCGGTGGATTGTATCATTTTATTGTGCTCCAGGTCTGACCAACAGGCTGACGTTGCTGAAAGCCCGCCTGCAGATGGGTGACATCGAATTCGCCCATGTCTTGCAGGAGCTCCTGCTGAAGCCTTTTCGAAGTCAGCTAGTCAGCTAGAGTGTTAGTTCCGGAGGGGTGCATTCTTGAGGTTTTTAAGCTACACAGACCCAGCGCATGCGTTGAGGGTCAGCTCCTGTGCCTCTGGTCAGCTGATGCCTTCCTACGCCACAGGAAGTGGAAAGCACCATCCATGAGATCCTGAAAACTTGTGGACCGCCAGACCTCTGGGTTCAGCAGCGTTTCGAGTGTCCCGGCTGGCACAAAACCTTCCCGGTGAGCACCGAGTTCTTCGGGTAAAACCCGCATGGCCACAAGCGCACGCTGTGAGGTGGGAGGAGAAGACGAGTCCCATCCTGAGATGCTCAAGACTGGAGCGGACTTTCTTTCTGACTCGCCTTTCTGATTTCGATTTGCCGAGGCCAGTACGAACTGCTGGACCGCCTGACGAACCTCCGCGATGTAAGCCCTTGGGTTCGATGCTGCTTTCCGTGCTGCTGGCAGACTGTGACGAAGTTATGCAGAAGGAGCTGTTGGATGCAGAAGTCTGAATTGAAACGTGTGATCCTATTGAATGTTGGGGCTTAACATGTACAAGAATGACAGGTTACGGGTGATGACCAGCAAGCGATGCAGCTCAGGGCTTGTAGTCTTGGTTGTGCAGATGTTGTGCAGTATGCTTCTGCAGGAGACTACGTGGCAACGGCGAGGTTGCCTGCTTGCACTACTCTGGTGATGGTGTGCTAAAGCCTTGTCTAAACTTGAATGCCAAAGTCTTTTCTAGACTTGAATGCTGCTGGATGCGAATTGAAAATGCTTGCGAGTGATTCGTGTGTGAACGACGTGCAGGTGGAGCCATCGAGTATTCTGGACCAAAAGATTCGGGAATTCAGCAAAAAAACTCAAGATGTCAGCGTGGACGAATTCAAAGACTACTTCTGGCAGCTGTTTCGAATGGCATCCAACACAAACAATCTGGAGATGTGCAAAAATCTGCTACGAGCTGTCCCGAACGCTCTGAAGGATGAGAAGGATGTGCATTTCCAGTCGCTGGAGCCATCTGGGAAATCGCCTCTGCATTTTTCGGTCGCGGATCATTTTCATCAACTGGGCCAATGGCTTTTCGAGACCTACCCACGCGAGATGAAAAGTCACTGCCTGATGCAAGACCACCATGGCCGGATACCGCTAGACTACATGGAGCCGCGCAAGGCTCTCCAGCCTCACCAGGAAGGTGCTCTCGTGTAGGGAGCTAAAGCCTTCTGCGGGTCAAAGCATTGAGCAAGGCATGGAGAACATGTGGTAAGGTCCTCTGTCCTTTCGCATAATGTAGCGAGAGGATATCAAAGAGCTGCTATCTCTTCGCAAACGGGTCGATGATGGGAGGCTCAGCCTTTTATCCAGTGCTTCTCTTCGAGACTTTCCAGGAATGGTGCCGGGTTCCAAGGAACTGGCAAAGTTGAGGAGGGCCAATGGGCACAATGGGAGTCGCAATTACCTTGACAGCGGTATTGTAAGGCACAGAGATGGGGCCGTACACCGATGATCGGCACAGCTTTGAAGACAAGGACTTGAACGTGTTGAACTGCGGGCAAAGCTGACTCTTCCTGTGCAACGCTTGAAGAAGGCACTTTGAGTGACAGGAGCGAATGAAGCGCATCGGTGCCGATTTGTTGAAGCGCATTCTGGAGTGGGGCATGAGGCCTGCGGTTGACTGGCGCACTTGAACATTGAGTGTCACACGATTAGTCTCATTCTGTGTGCCGCAGTTGATGTTTTCTGTAAAGGCATGTGGATGTGGCTTGCACCAAACGCCACACGGTGCTCCACCTGCTTGCTGTGCATGGTGTGGAGGTCGGTCTGCACAAGCTACTATCACGGTGTCGCATGGCAGCCTTCCGAAGAACATTATGAGCTTGCAAACACGTGTTCCTGTGCTCGCAGGAGCAAGAAGTGTTGGGCCTGCAACGTGGATCTCCTGCAGGGTCCGACACGGCTCACGAAACAGGCCGGGAACTATCAGCCATCCCATGCCTGCATGCCTCTGCCTCTTCGCCTCTCTGTATTTGTCCCTCTTTCTCTCTCTTTTGCTCTGCACCTCTCTCTCTCTCTCTGTCTCGCTCTCTCGCTGTCTTCTCCATCGCTCTCCCGCTTTCCGGCTTCTGCATCCGTCCGTGGAGAGTGGAGAGTATGTGCAGAGTCCTCTGATGCAACTCAAAGGTACCCTGCTTGAAATACTCCTTCGGCAGACGGAGTTCGATGCCGACATCAGGGATGCCACAGCAGAGAGCAAGGCAGCCAAATTTACCAGCTCTTCTGGTAGGGATAGTGTGACCTTCTGGGCATGAGGCCCGCACCCTGCCAATGGTCGGCTCAGGCACCCATGGAGCTGGCCACCGAGCAGCGACATGCCAAGGACTGGACTGGACAGAGTCTCACGCAAATTGGCCGGCACACGCAAACTCTGCCACATAGGCCACTAAGCTCTTCTTTGAAGCCATGCTGTCCGAGATGCACGAGATCAAAGACGACCATCAAAAGCAGGAGCGTGCGAGAAGCATCTCAGGGGTTGTCAAGCGCCGCAGGTCGCATTCCAAGTCCTGTAAAGTCCAGTCCTGGGATGCGAAAATGAGGCAAACTATACTATACCAAGGGCAAGTTTAAGGCCTTCATGGGGTCGACCTGTCGAAGGTCTGTGGCATGTTTGCTCGAAGCCTTCTGCCCGTTTGTTGGCATGTGCGCACTGTTCTCGGTGCGTCCGGCCATGGTTCAGTCACGACGCCGGCTTGCACGGGTCAAGCTGCACCCCACCTATGCGCGAAAACGCACATGCGTGCACGTCCCACCAATGGGCCAACGTCAAGTTTGTCGAGAGAAGAGCTTGTGAAATCGGATCATGCGAGACACATGCATTGCCGAGGGTGCTGCTTCTTCTCGAGGACCGTTTCAAGGGCTTGAAAACCATCCTGGAAGACTCGCTGATTCAGGCCTTCAGCGTTTCACGGACCCTTCTCTGAGTGTGGCTGCATCCTACGTAACATGATGAGATGAGTTTGTTGGAGCCTGTCCAGCTTCATGCTCGACGCGATGGCCATCCAGTGGAGCGAAGCAAAGACGTTAAGCAAACTTGCTGCTCGTGCACCTCGATAGCACGAGCGAAGTGTTCTGGATCGAACTTACGACTCATGCGACGCCTTGAGCCCTTGAGGTGCGCAGCCCGAAAGATTACTGGGGCGCTTGAAAGTCCAGGATGACTTGCGAAATTTCGTCGAGATGAAGTTGCAGGTAGCACGACCGGGCTGGGCATTTAGAAGTGATTCGATTTCTTTCCGACACTTGATCGAGGTCCTGGGATACGAAGCCACTCTGCTCCACTACGCATGCGGCGCTGACCCCTTGATGCCTGGCCGTGAGTTGAGATACACGAGGACAACCAACGTGTGGGGATGGTGCAGACTCGGTTTGCCAGCGGAGCACGCGCAGCTCAGGATTGACGCCGCAAGGCTTCAACATGACTCTGGGGCTAGTTTGGCCCGGCGGCTGCTGGAGCAGCGTGCAGCGAACTCGCAAGATTCTCTGCGAAAAACACCTTTGAACTGGGCCGTGACAAAGCACCTTCCTAGCATTGCTTGGGACATCTGCAGCTTTGCAGCAGCAGGCCGAGCATCGTGTTTGCTGCAACCAACGATCATTCCCTAGCTTGAACTCAAGGTGAGTTTGGCATCGAGAACGATGTCGCAGATGTTCTCGATGATTCTTCTGCGAAACTATAAGAGGGGGGGCATCCTGCAAGTACACTCAGCGAGATGCACAGCTTCATTCCGAGGACATTGAGCATCACTTGGCCAGCCTCCCCGAGGAATATGCACTCTTTCGCGTGAGCATGGACTCTGCAAAGGTCCTTCCGATTTCTGCTATTCGTGACCGCAAGCATCTTGTTTTTGAGTTGTGAGCAGGCGGTTCCAGCAGGTTTCGGATCCCTAGTGCTCTGGATCGAATTCGAGCATCTTGGACCTGAGAAGAACCGCAGAGAACACACTAGAGCACGAAATGTGCTTGCCGAGGACAGGGGCTCGGACGTACCTCGCTGCCTGACTGAAGCCTGCTGCGGGCTGCGGGTGAGACCCACCTCGAACCGTACTGTGCAACCTAGGATGGCTGTGTGTCACCATCTCCTGACCCGGCCAAAACTGTCTTGGAGTTTAGACCTTCGAACATGGTGGCCCCATTCCAGTTTCAGCTGGATTCGAGACTCGTCGTCGCAGAGTGGTGATGCAAGCCTCATCTAGTCCATTCGCTGTTTCTTTGTGGTGCAACCGCATAGCTGCAATCGCTCGGATCGTGAATCGCAGGGACGGTGTGCAGCTGGACAAAGTGCCTGGACGTCTGAGCTTCACCTTGGAAGGTTTGCTTCTGGGCGCACCAACTGCAAGTTTCGAGAGACAGAAAGGCGCTGGGCCTTCAACTTGCTCAGGTCAGAAGGACCATGAAACGGGCTTCGTCATCGAAGAGCAGTGGGTAACTCTCTTTCCGAACTTGCCTCTGAAGGCTGGGCTCTGGGGCTTCAAAGCTGGTGAGACTCGGTCATGTGTTGTGCTACCAGGAGTGGTGCCAGACTACAAAGACCAAACAGCGCCTGGAGTTCATGAACTATCATTCGAAGCGCACCTCGGCCATGAGAAAGTGGCATGGTGTCAGCGCAACACTGTGCAGCATGTTTGTGTGTTCGTCGCTCCTCCGCAGAGCTGTTGCAAGCCACGCGAAAATAGCGGCAGTGCGTGACTCACGCGTGCCTCGCATTGATGGCTATGAGATGCCGCCTTGTCTGTTGGCTTCTTTGGAGCTGGCTGGCCTGCACATGCCATGACCGCCTGGCGGGATTTGCTGCTCCAAGACGGGTAGGAGAGCCACGATCGCCCGAGCCCCAGAAGGTGATGTCTGGCATGGCGTCTGGACCGTCTGGCCCTCTGATTGGGAGGCAAGCGATCCCGGTCCCACTCAGCCCTCGAGACTCCTTGGCGAAGCCGGAGCACAGACCAAGGCCCCTGATGAGGCTACTTCTTCTCGACGGGGCTTTGCTAACCCTGGCATTCGCAATCAACGTCAAGTGTGCGGCAAAAATGCAGGTGCTGCTCAGTTCCAGTTCACTGTGGGGCCGTATCTTTGTCTGGCTGTGACGACGAGGCATTTGGATTTGCCCTCACCAGAACAATGGGTGCCACAGAGTTCTCCATCCAGGGGCCGGGCTTGAATGGGTACCTGGAGCCTGGAACTTCCCAACCTGCAGCCTTTGCTCAGGATCAGGGTCCCTTGTTGTAGTTCCTTCGTAGTGAGGACCCTAGAGCTTGTGACGACGAGCTTTGTGCGACTTGGAAGAGATCGGCTGCCAAATGTACCCAAGCCGGGTCATCCAACACCAAAGTTCCTGTACAACAGCTACCTGTTTGCCGATGGTTGTACTCTCCGAGGCATTGGGCAGCAGATTCCTCAAAGGTAGAGTTCCTTGCAAATGCGTTCCTGTGGGGCAGGAAGCGGATTCTCAGCTCAGCATCCGTTGCATGCCATCATATGTCAATTTTGAAAGCTTTCTGCTTCCCTGCTCTCACCCATGTTTCAAGCATTCAGATCAAGCGCCTCAGTTTCTTGTGCCAGAGCAGAGAAAAGAGTTTTGCCAGCAAGCTGTTCGTGAGATGCAGACAGTTCATTGCACTCTCAGAGGCCTGAACATTCTCAGAACGGATGGTGTCGGCAGTCTCAATGCTTCATTCGCAGAGGTCGTTGTCGGTTGCTGAAATCCAAGGTGATGGTTTTACAATATGGCACCTTGCGTGCAAACACAGGAATCTTCGTTTGTCCAAGATTCTCAGAGCTCACAATGCGAACTACGGCTTCTGTGTCGATTGCAAGAAGACACCGCTGGACTGTGCTGCTGCCACAGACTGCGAAGTCATCATGGAGGATCGCTGTGCCGTCGTCTTAGGGCTGTCGCTGGCGCCGAAGCTTGAGGTCCATCGCTGTCTTGACAGAGCCTTGTCCAAGCCTAAGATCCTGTCTTGCCGTTGTTGCGAAACTCTTTCTTTTCGGAGGATGCCGATTCCGAGCTGGAAGACGGTTTGCTCACCGGGGCAAAAGCGGCAGGAGCAAACCGATGCGGCTTCGCAGCACGTGAAGCCTAGCGAAGCCTTGTGAAGTTCGTTGCTGGGAGGAGTTGTCGACTCGAAAAAGCAAGAGCTCGCCAAACTTCTCCTCTTCCACGATTACGTCTGTAAGGCATCAAGGCGGGCCTTTCTCTTTGCGGCACGTGGTTTTTGATTTGGGCTGCACGCGAAATAATTGCGGACTTTGCCGCAGTGCTGCGCAGGCACCAGATGTCACCCAAGAAAATCGCTCGCAAGTACTTCTTGTACTTCAGCATTGAGCCGGCAGTCTTGGTTGCCATGCGAGACGTGGACGGGAAGGCCAGCTCCTGAAGATTGAGTCGATCAGTCGACCTCCGGTGCAGAAGGTTCTGAAACTCCCGAACTTTGTAGTGCTTGCACCCACGACAGGCTTGAGAAGGTGTATTGTCATCACTACTTCGGCCGTCGTTTAGGCTTCTGTTTATTAGTGCCTCAGAGTCTAACCCACTTCCCATGCACTCTCTGAGCACGAGCAGGTGCTGCTGCATTACGCAGCATATTTCGGCTTGTTTAAAGACGTCGAGTGGCTCTTGGAGAAGGGAGCACAGGTGGATGTTTATGACCAGATGTCCATCCAAGACTTCCGCTTCACGATCATGGACCCTCCGAAGCAGGAGCTCTGGTCGCAGCTTCAGAAGGCCAGCTGGCGCAGTCACACCATGCGGTGAGTTGGTAGCGCGTCGGCGACAGGCCTACGCCCTGACCGAGATCCCCTTCCCGGAGTTCTGCTGCCAGAAGGCCGAGCGCGAGCCTTTCAATGCCGTCCTGGCCTCGCCCACGGAAGATGTCTACTGGCTCAGACAGGAGCCTGCAACCGCAACGCACCGCAACGCACAGCACTTGTATAATGGCAGGAAATTGACGGATGGACCTCTTTCACCTGACAGGAAGACATCCCGGAGTTTGCCACGCTACGGGTCTGCTTCCAGCGACCCGAGCGCTTTGACGGCTTCCGCTGGCCAGCTAAGGGGGAGGATGGGATTCGTCACGACGAGGGCGAGCCAGGAGAGGGCGCAGTAGTACTGTGGAGGATGAAGGTGAAGGTTGGTCCATTGCAAGAAGTTTGCATCAGGAGCTGTGGATGTAAAGCTGTCCAAGTGGATGATGGAAGCCAGGGCCTGTGAAAGGTTGCACTACAGAGAGTCTTGGCAGAACTGTGTGGGAAGAACTTCGTCGAGTGAGTAAATGATGCGATGGCAGCTACAAGTAGAGCGAGGGTTGCAATGGTTGACCCGCAAGCAACATTACGATCTGATCACGTGTGTGATCGGTTCGCGGCTGAGGTGGAGTGGCTGACTGTGAATTTTGGGCACCAGGATGTTTCGGTGGACGTGGACGACTTCCAGAACGGCAAGTACATCTCCATGCATGTGCACAGGACACCTTTGGATCATGCTCTCCTGGGCGCCATGGACAATGCCGAGACGATGTACAACGTGCGAGACACCGCAGATGAGAATACAAGTGGTATTTCTGAAGTCCGGCTGCCACCCCATGCGCGCATCTGCAAGATGCTTGGACGAAAGTCGATGTTACGAAATACAGAGGCGAGCAGCAGTTTCAAGTGTTGGGATATCTAAACGACAAAAACCAAGGATCCTGATCGAACAGGCTCTCCTGTGTGAGAAGCAGGACTTCAGACATGGCACATCGCGTTGTGTAGCACCGACCGAACTCTGTGCACGCTCGCACAATTCGGATGCATGACACTTCTTTTCATATCTCGGCCTTTGCCCGAGGAAGGCAGAACACTGCTGGCAGAAACCTTCGCAAGCTTCTGCCGGCCGTGCCACGTCGCAAGGAACCCCGGCTGGGGAGCAGATTTGAAGCATGATTGCTTATTGCTTTCCCACTTCCTGCGGAGGTGTCGGAAATGTGCAGCAATTTTGCTGCATTGTTCATGCAATGCATGTGCGCAAGCAGCGAGGGGATTGTCGAAATACATCGTGGACATTCTGGTCCAGGAGCCAGGCCTGATCTCGTGGTGCTTGCAGTATCCTATACGTCCCATACCCGGATCCTTGAGCTTTAAACCAGGGGCCTCTGCCGAGAAGACCACTTTGCTGCATGTCGCAGCCAAGCACGGCTGCTTGGAACCTCTGAAGTTTTTCGTTCTCGTCCGACGATTGCCTGGGGAGAGGCATTCATCTGTGGAGCACCGAGGCCTGCGAGATGTGTGCAACCAGCTGTTGAAGTATCGCTGCACCTTCAAGGACCTCCAAGCCCAAGCCATCTGAAAGCTTCGTTGTTTGTTGTGGACGCTATGAAGACTTCTGCGATGACAGTGCAGACCTGACCTGCTCGGATCCCTCCACTCCGCAGGAAGTTTCCATGCAAACGCCGCTGGATGTCGCAAGTGACGAAGGCTTGGACTTGCTATCCATGCATTTTTTCGTTGTTGTTCGGTCAAAGTTCTGATGCAATATGCCAGACTGATCATGGGCACTTGTTGCAGGCACCTATCACCTTCTGATTCTTCCCGCTTTCGTCTCGATCTGTCAGAAGATCCACACGCGTGCCTTGCCGAACGAGGACAAGTCGTTGCCACTTTGCCATAAGACAACACTAGCGCTAGACTCGCCCGGTGCCCATGCCATGTCATCCTGGCGAAGTGCCAGGCGAGCGGCTAGGCCTAGAATCCAGGAGCGAGCACCCGCCCCTTAAGCTTCACTCGCCTGGGCGTGAGCTGGCTTTCAGCTGTGAAGGACGAGGAGGCCATTGCAGCCAGAGTGGAGCAGGTAGACCAGGAGGCGACTGCGTGGCTGACCAACATGGAATCACGAGCCCTTTCATTGCAGAAGCGCCCAAGCAAAATTCAGACAGCATTTGGGTTCTGTGAAGATTGTGGGGTCATGTGCTAGCAGGCCACGTCTGCGCACATCCCAGCATTTTATGCCATACCCTCCATTGCAGCTTAACAAGACTGCAGCCTTCGCCACCCAAAGAAGCTCAAAAGAAGGATGTAGCCAGTCACAACAGCTAGCCCATCGCAGCTTGCGAGAGTTGTCCTTTACAATCCTTCTTGGTCTCTAGTGTTCAGGCGGGTCAACAAGCGACCCCGGGCCTAAACTGGTATGAAGAGCAACAGTTAATGGGCTGCGGGGTGGGGGGGGGTGGGCGGCACCCCCCTCCCCTGTAAGATTGATGTTAGCAATCTGTAGGTTGGTTGCACTGCAAAGTAATCCCTAACGACACACACCATTACAAACTACTCTCGCTTGGCTCTACTGGTAGCACCTGTGCGAGCCTCGCCTCTCTGCTCTCGCCTGCTTACTCTAGCTCTCGTGCTCGTAACCCAAATCTCAAGTTGTGCAAGTCACTGATCTGCGCATGATGAGGATCGTTCGTATCTCCAATCCGCAGCAGGGCAAGTACACAATGGTGGACTATGCTGCTATGTACGGGATGAAGCGTGTCCTGGCCCATGTCATCGATGGACTGTCAGACATCGAGGATGAGACCAAAATCACTTGCCCGGCTGAGATTATCGGGATCGAGTCCAGGGCAGCAGTGGAAATATGTGAAATCTTGTTATGACATAGGACAAGACATTGATGGATGCTTGCATAAGTGAGGAAATGCCCAGATATGGTGAGAGAAATCAAGTCATCTACGACCTGCGGAGCTTGTTCACGGCAGCAGACGATCGTTGGACTTCCCTCAATTTGAAGCAAAAGTTGAAGGACATGAAGGAGGCTTTCAAAGGAAAGACCAAAGAGGAGAACCGCTGACCGGCTGGGATGCACACTGGACAAACAACCAAAACGAAGGATTGGAATTCTGTTGCATATCTGTGGGTCCCCCTTGCCAGCCATCCCAGTGCGCCCGAAAGCTTGCGAGCACCGCGCCTTACCCTGTATCTAAAGGCATTCGTTGAAGCTGATGACTTGGACAGACTGCCAGTGATCTGGGTTGGAACTGGGCCTGGAGACAGACTGTATGTTTGATGTCTCGTCGGCGGCTACGCTGAAGACGCCGGACACACCAGAGTTCCCTGAAGAATGATCCTGACTTCTTGTCGTCCTAAGCCTTGTGATATCCGATGAATGGCCACGCAAACACACACACACACAGACAGACACACACACACAGACAGACAGACAGACAGACAGACAGACAGACAGACAGACAGACAGACAGACAGACAGACAGACAGACAGACAGACAGACAGACAGACAGACAGACAGACAGACAGACAGACAGACAGACAGACAGACAGCCAGACAGACAGACAGACAGACAGACAGACAGACAGACAGACAGACAGACAGACACAGACAGACAGACACAGACAGACAGACAGACAGACAGACAGACAGACAGACAGACAGACAGACAGACAGACAGACAGACACACACACACACACACACACACACACACACTACGCATGGTGCAGAACGTTTCAGTCCGTAGATTCGGAATGATGAGCCTTGCAGGAGCTGGTGGAAGCTTTGAAGAGGCTGTGTATTGTGAGTGAAGCGCCTTGTAGCATGAGCGGCACAGATTGGCCCCAGGGAGCTCCACGAGCACATCCACTATGTCGCTTCCCTGGACACCGAAGAGGCAAGTCGCGTGTCCACGCCCTGTCTCTGAGCAAAGCAATCTACGAGTCAAACTCCGGAGGTGCCCGCAAAATATTGCACGAACTGCAAGCCCAAACCCTGCAGTGACAGCATCTTAGCATACCATTGCGTCTTCATGCCGGTTTGCACACTGATTCTGCTGATTGCAGCAGGCGTGTTTTTGGCTTGGAAGCCGGGTTTTGGTGTTTTGATTCCCGAACTGATCGGGATGCTGTGATTATTGACCGGTCCGCTTCCAGGCAGCTCTGAGCCGAGTTGGAAGCAGACCGTGGTTCTCTAAACAATTATAGCATTAGCTGGAAAGATTGCTATCATGCCCCTCAAGAGCCTGAAGCGCACAATGCAGACCACTGCTCCTGTGACACCCTGTTATTGTTGTGACTTCGGGGAGGCTATTGAGTTTTTCGATGCGGCACTGGAAGCGAAAGCAGAGTGGCGCAAAAAGAAGGATGCCACCACAGGCGACACGGCACTCCACATGGCTGCCCGCTCGGACAATATCGACATCGTCAAACTGCTGTGCGAGAAATACAAGGCTCGAGCATTTCCGGGCTAAGATTTCGAAACATATGCCATCACGATACGAACATGGTTTCCAGGCAAGGTCTAGTCAGAAAGTATCCTCAAGCTGTGCTGCGAGTCGAGGTGAACAAGGAAGATGCTTGGCGCAGACTATACAGCATGATGTTGATACTGGTGCAACAGATGCGATTCTGTGACAGTCTTGCCGTGGTACCTTGTGATCACCAGGTGTGGCAAAGCAGCATGTCCTCTCAGCACCCTGTGTGGCAAGGACAAGAATATGAACCAGGAGCGGCCCATACACAGTGCCGCCAGGAATCACAGCTACAAGACGATGAAGTAGCTCAGCTGCAAGAGGGTGCATGCGCAAAGCGTCAACACACTGAAACCTGGACGGCCCAATCTAAGGTACCTTTTGGAGGGAGGTGTGCAGCCATTGCCACCAAATTTCAAGAAGGAGAGCATCGGCCGTGACTCATGCATAGCCTTAAGATCTTAGGAAATGTCACTTCAACAGTCGAATCTCCCAAAATGGAGCTTGCAGCTGTAAGAGCACCATGAGCACGTGCAACGAGAGGAGCACCCCATGCACTTGCTGGCCAAGACTCTTTCGCTCAGGTCGCTTTGCGTGAGCTCTTGCGCAGGTTTTTGTTTCTTTCGTTTTGTGCGCCTTTTCTGCCAGGTCGCCTGGCCAGAGAGCACCCGATCCAGAGAAGTTCCAGGAAGTGATGAGCCTCCTCATGGCCAAGGTGGCAGAGTCGAACAGCTGGATGAATTTGACAAAGAGAGACGCAGATGGCAAGTCCGCCCTGGAATATTTGGTCAGCTCGTGTGGCCACACGTATGCCGCCCCGGTGGTGGAGAAGCTAGTGCATGTGCTCCCAGCGGCGGTCCTTGAGAGCAGCTGCTTCTTCGCGGCTCTGGACAACCCAACGGGGCCTTCTCGATTCCTCAAGGTGCTCCTCCGCGGAAACCAACTCTCTCACTCTCTTGAATGCCATGCCCAGGCTTTGCTGAAGAACACTGCAGACAGGAAGATCCTGACGAAGCTGCTAGACCAAGACGAGGACATGGGATGCATTGCCGTTTGACATTGTCCCTTGGCACCCCAGTGGGCCGTAGGCACGAAGCTTGTGAGAGCTTGCCACCCAACAAATCGCAGACTGCTCCGATCGCACCTCCTTCCAATCGATCCTGAACAGAGCCCCACAAGCGTATGTTTCGGGAGGACCAGAATGGGCTCAACGTGGTGCAGATCTGTGCCCTGAAGGGCGATGTGGATTCCTTGAGGCACTTCAGTCGTCGGTGTGTTGATGCGTCGTTAAGGCTTTCCCTTTTGCCCCCTGTGCAGGGAGATTCTGAATGCCCTGGCAGCCCCAGATCTCCTGCGTCAAGCGCTGATCCCAGAAGGCTGGAAAACCGGCATCGCCAGGAGTTATAGGAGTCGGGTAGGAGCCTCCGTTTCAAGCCAGGGAGAGGCCTGAGGCATCCACGCCCGAGCGTTCCTCAGAAACAAACTCCCTAAACCCTAAACCCTAAGCCCTAAACCCTAAACCCTCAACTCTGAGCCACTGAAACAACCTCCCTCCAACTGCTAACGTCACTTAGCCTTCAGGAGCTTAAATGATAGACATCAAGCGATGCAAACATACGCAACCATAGTACCATTGCGACTGCATCCCTAGTACAGGTCATTCTTTGGCTGCGTGTTAAACAAGCTTTCAGTAATCTCCGTTCTCCACCATGTAAAACAAACGCGTGTTGTGTTGTACAGACTAAAATGAGCAATGCCTCGCCTGAACACATTGGCCATGTAGGCCTTCATACCACGTGACAACTGCGTGCTTGTGTCTTGTGGCATATGGCAAGCACTCCCCGAATGTCAGAAATCGACGAGACGAAGCTGTGCCCTAGCTTGCACTTTGCTTGAGATGTTAGTGCTCGGACCGGTTATTGTTGAAAGTTTCGCCGGCCGGAGGAGTGATCAGGAGTGTCTTTCGTTGTCCTTTCTCTACAGTCGCGTTAGTTTGTTGTCCTCTGTAGAAGGGCTGCTAGCAGACTAGGAAGAGGAACCAGCATGCAAGTCGTTCGCAGCGCCGAGGAACCGCAGCATGTGCGATCAGGCCTGAATCCGGGTATTGGCCATGCCACATGACGCGTCTGACTGCTCGACCCCCCGCAAAAGCTAAATCTTACTTGGCACCTCTCGAGCAGGAGCGAGTTGTCACGTAGGCCCCAGGCATTCGCTTCTTGCAAATTTCATTCCGACAGACTCCGCCACTCATCCTGGCACTTCGTCATGGGAAAGAAGATGTGGCAAAACGTCTTGCCTCCAGCTACTGGGAACAACATTGGCCTGCTCCAGCAGCACAGGTAACCAGGTAGTCGGGACATGTGCAGCCGAAAGTGCAAGTGCAAGGAATGTTGGGCTTGGACGAGAACCATCGAGCCCGTGTGAAATGGGAAGATGAATGTCGCAATAGCCAGCTTAAGCAAGATCTGATCAGCGCCTCGTTGCAAGCACTGTTTGTAATCTCGTGGCGCGCCAGTTTCGTGACACCGGCCGAAAGCTAAACCAGCTAAACGCCCACTTCAGGTATCTTCAACCAGGCCGGGCAAACCTTCTTCCAGTTGATCCGGTCTGGAGAGGCCTGGGCCAGAGCAGGGGGTCATCGTGTGCTCCCTTGATTGCATTCGATGCATGCGCGCGCTGCACCTGTGCGTCAAGAAAACTCCTTACAATCCTACCGTCTCGTGGTTGTGCTGCCTGAGCATGGCTCTTCTCGTGCACTCAGAGGTGGGAGCTGTTCGCAACCTGCTCGTTGCTCAGCCCGCGCTAGTGGAAAGCGCCTTTTCC